TTCGGCATAGGCTTCAGAATCTGATCTTTGCATCTGTACCAAAATGCTCTCTTTGCCTCAGAGCTTTGTGGCCTGAAATAACCACAATATTTGCTGTGTCATGGCAGCAGATCATGAAATAGCAAAAATCTTTGGGAATCCACAATTTCATATATCCCAGAGTACACCCACTGATCTCAGCTCTGACCCAGCTGCACAGCTTAAATGTGTGTTTAATATGTAAGCAGCAGTGCAGGTTGTGTTCACGTGTGAAAAAGACACTTTTGGATCCTTAAAAGGCGAATTGGTAAACAAGTTCATTTCAGCAAGGTTCATATTCACATTGGAAAATGGAGCCCGATTAGCATATATGCAGAGAGGCTTTGCATGCTTGACATCCTCTCAGCCCCTCTGCTGGAAATAGCCATGCACACAACATCCTCTGATTACATTGATATGTAGATTCATGCATCTGCAAAGATTAGTTATTCATTAATGTATTTGCTTTGAATTCTCGGGTGAGTGTACCTCAGACAGAAGTCTGGGGCAAAGCAAATGCATCTGAGGAAAAATGTCACGAATGATCACACGAAATTCATGTCAGAAAATATCCAGGTTCTGTGACCCGCAACAACACAAATCCAATAGGACATTATGATTAAGAAAATCTTTTGGCACTGGGGTTAAAAAACAGAGGAAAGTATAAACATAATTATCAGCCTTTTCATCTTCACAGCAGAATTAGTTTTTCTTGCTCTAAGTGGGCTATGAGGATTAATCATTGCAGTCTGTGTGAGTTTATAAGCTGTAGCGTTCTGTCATCCTTTCATAAAAGCATCATGGATCACCAGTTTGCTTCTTCAGTGTCCTCTCTTGCAGCCACACTGCAAGCACTTTTTAACTTTAAAAATAGGCTCGCCACAGAGAGTGCCAAGAAATGCTAAACACCAAACAATGTCCCCTTGCTCAGATCTGGCCACAAAATGGAGCTGATCAGCCCCTGTAGAGACGCTGTGCTCTACATGACAAAAAATAGTCGCACATTAATTAACGCTATCCATATCAATTAATGTGTGCAGTGTCGACGGGCACACTTAATGTACAGTGTGAGTTTATGGTCAGGTTTATTTATACACCCCCTTCATCACTGAGTCAATGGGTTTCACATCATGCACATTATGAAACAAAAAAAAAAAGAAAAAGAAACTCCCCAGACTTTGGGAATGTTGCCTTTATTTGCTTTTTTATGCACAAATAAGAGAAAACCGCCTGATTACAGAGGCTGACAAAACAAAAACAGAACAATACAAAGCAGTAAAACTGCTTTAGTAGAAATCCAAGCTGTTTGAGGAATCAGCACAAATTTAGTCATCATAGTAATAAGTGTTGGAATAGGTGTTATGCTGAAATCTGTGACCCGAAAGATTTCAGTGATGCTACAGGGGCCAGCTATTGGAGGAAGCCTGAATTGACCAACTACTGACTGCTGAGGTGTTGGTGCTTTTTAAAGAGACGCAACGGGCTCATCGGCGATCCAAAAATTATGAGCAAATCTAAATATTATGGGGTCGCAATTGTATGTTTGGCTAAATGCCGCGGAGGAACCATTTTTCCATGACAAAACGCGATATGTCATGATGATAAAGTCATCTGGAGCGGCAATATAGCTGAATTCTTAAACAGGTCACCAATTTGTTGGGTCACAGAATTTATCTTAACACTGGCATGTCAACACTGGAGGAAGAAAAAAAAGAAGGAAGTCGAGAAATAGGTCAACTGCTTGTACATCCTCTCTGGTAGAAAAAAAAAACCCCTACACAAAAACATACATTTTAGATTCTACTTAAAGCCCAGGAAGCAAAAAAAGAATTATTCTGGTGAAAAATTTGTTATGGAAAAAAAAAAGTTGCATTTGTAACTGCTGAAGCCGCTGAAATCCGCCGGCCTTAACCTAAGACTAATTGAGTTCTGCTAGATTGCTCCTAAATAATCAAGAGCTTCTTTTCCCTGTCCTCCCCTGCCGAAAATGATGATCTATGGCTCTCGAGGACGTAGGACATCAGTTTGGGTTGTCGCGGTGGTGACTGGTTTTCATAGGTAATGATGCTAAATTACACAACTGGGAATAAAGGAGGCTACTAAGTCATCCATCAGGGGCTAGTTTATATGAGCTGCCATTAGGGGCATTATTCAAACCCCAGTCCACTCGCACACATAGCTTTCTGTCCCTGACCCCGTCTCGCTTTCTCCGTCTACACACACACACACACACACACACACACACACACACACAGTTTGCCACAAGCTACTAGAGGGGACATCTCATTCTTTTATCCATGGCGAGTCATTGTGGTGGTGTCAGCTGGTGCCGTCTCTTTTATCACACTGGAAGCTAATGGAAGCAGCAACTGCAGGAGGTGGGGGAGAAGATGCGAGCGCGCGCACACACTCGCAGTCACAGTCAAACACACACACACACACACACACACACACACAAACGTAAATACACACTGAGCCATAAGAGGCTGGGGAGATGGGGCGGGTGGGCACGCCAGGCCCCGGGGCAAGAGCTGTTTTGTGGTGATGTTTTTCTTGCTCGCTGAGGCCTCTCTATCAGCTTGTGTCTCTGACACTCAATAAAGCACAAGGAACTGCTTCAGACACTTGTGATGCCTATTTTTTTTATATATATCCTGTAATGGGTATTTTATTTTTTTTCACCCCCATGGTAGAGCTAAGCCGGATGTCATCTTCACCCAAAAAAATTACAGAGAAAAAAAGGTTTTATTTCATTTTACACGTCCCACCTGGCCTCATTCTAGAATAAACACAAGAAAGAAATCCAGCCATTCAACTCTTTGTATTTTCTCCACCTAATCCCTCCTTGTAAATTTATTGGTCTCACTTTTTTTTTTTTTTTTTTTTTTATCTATTGACTAGAAAATACTCTATGGACAGGGTTTATTTACAAGAGAATGAACAACAACCAATTACTGCAGGAGGATTCAGTGCAGCACACACGTTTTGATAGGGTAGTTGGGGTTGACCTAATTTTCCAGTAACACTGTCGAAAACCACGGGGCCGCTACTTTAAACACACATGCTATAAGGGACATATGCCAGGCATGTATTGTATTTATATTTTCTATAACTCTTTATTTTTTCAGTCTTTTTCTGTTTGTATAACATAACAATCGTGCTTTATCATGTGACACCATTTAGATACATATCATGTTTATATTATGTTTTACATTAGGCAGTGAGACAGTTAAAAATATACAAAACAATATTGTTTTACTAGACATAGTTTCTATTTTTAATATAACCGTCAGTATCTTCATTGTCATCATCATTTCGTATATTTCTGTAAGATATGTGCTTTAGCTTCTGTGATCAAAATATTATTGCAGAAAACAGCAACTCCATTTTTTCAACATTTAGACAATAACTTCCAATGTATTACAGACATTCACAGTTACATGTTTTACACAGTACAGTTTTACAACAAAGTTCCAGAGAAAACTGTGGTAGAGTAACTTTATACAAAATTCACAGGACATGAACTGTAGCCATTTCACATTTTCGCTCAGTTGTTTTGCTTTTCAAAGTAAACATGTTCTGTTCGACCAGATGCCTTTCACAGTAGCTGCCATAGAAGCAAACTAACATTGTCCTAACACGCCATGGCAAAAGTCTGGGGAAATTAAAGCTTTTGTGCTTTTCACTAGTAAAGCAAAGACAACATAAACAAAAAGAGAAACAGACCACTTGCTTACTGGCCTGCACTTATACATCTACATATGTATTGCTGAATACATATTGATCAAACTATAATTGATCATGACACATAAAGAAAAAATCGTGACTGTACTTAAACACAGAGTTGGTCCAGGTTTTTTTTTTTTTTGTGCTAGCATACAAAGTGGTATTTTGTAGTTCTGCCCAGTCGTGTAAACAGACTATGGCTTTGTTGGAATTGGTGTATTGGCTTAAGGCCGTCTCTGTTCTTCTTCTACTTCTTCTTCTTCTTCTTCTTCTTCTTCTTCTTCTTTTGTCAGGAGACATTTCAGAAAATTTTTCACTGATGTTCCTGAGGAAAGCATGCAAAACGTAAACAGGATTGACTGTCAGCATTAAGGGATAGTCGATGTTTGTAAATCACTTTTTCTAACCCTGTGCTTTTTTTTTTTTTTTGTTGCTTTTTTTTTTTTGTACTTCTTTGTACCCTGTGCTTTGCCAACCAAATACTAAATGGCATAGTTTTTGCTTTTGTCTGCCTATTGATTTTGGTCCTCCATCACAACACATATAGTATAAAACATCCTAAAAATAATTCTAAAAATGTTTTGATCACATAAAAGTTTTCTCGTTTTCTTTTTTTTTTTTTTTTACTGAAAAAAAAGGAAGGAAAAATAACAGTCTCTCTCACACACACAAAATCTTTTGCGACACATACTGGATTGCTCCAGAGCTCCTAAACATGAACTTCTTATTGGCATTGTGCTTACTCAGAGCTCCCAGTCTCGCCTTGTGGCCTGTAGTTTACCTCACAGAGAGCAACGTTTGGAAAAGAGACAACTGTGTGAGGTTTAGTAAACATCCACAATAAAATTGACGCCATCCCTTGCACTCTTCAATGATGTCAATTTTGTTCACTACTTCATCTACTATATTCACACGGTATTTACTTGATTCATGAAGATATTCAACAAATCTCTAATCTATATCTCTAAGTTTTTTTTCTTTTCTCACAGTATTACACAGTATGTTTACATTTTTTTTTCTTCTGAATTACGGTTGTATTGGTGAACACTAACAGTCTTTGATATTGTTTTTCAGAATGCAAACCAACAATAAGACATTGTTGGCTTGGTTTTACAAATGCAGAAAAATTAAACATGGTTTGAAAATCTGTTTTGATCACATATTGCCCCTGGAGGTAGGTGAATCAATTAAAATCTTGGAAGTCCTTTGTAATGTTCTCTTTTTGTCTACATGCTCCATGAGGGTTTCTTTGTTGTCTACACGTTGGCCTCAGCATTGGTCAGGTTAGAGGTCGGGCTTGTTGGGTTCGGGGGGTTGACGGGCTCTGATGGGCTGGTCGGGTTGGGCGGTGGGCTGGTCGGGCTGACAGTCGTGGTGGCGGGGTTAGCCGGACTGGCCGTGGTGGTGGCGGTGGTGGTGATGGTGACGGTGGCGGCGGGACTCGTTGCTGGGTTTACCGGGCTGGTGGCAGTGGCTGGATTGGCCGGCGGAGGGGCTGGATTGGCAGGAGTCACGGGGCTGGTGGAGTTGACGGGAGCCGGATTGGTGGGGCTGGCGGGGTTGGCGGGGGCCGGGTTGGCCGGACTAGCTGGGTTGGCTGGATTGGCAGGGCTGGATAGGTTAGCGGTGTTGGTTTCTGCTTGCTGCTCGGGTCCATTCTCCTGACGCCTGGTGATCGCAGGAGGGTGAAGCATTATCCGAAGTCGCTGCAAGACAAAAGCACACACAATGCAAATGAATTACATAAGAAGAAAGGGGACATCGGGACACAGAGGCAACATAAATGTTAATGCTAAAAATCTGGCAACGCAAGCCGGTCAAGTGTGGTGTTTATCCAACATAGCAAAAACAGATGATTTCCTTCTTACCTCTTTGTAAGTACCCTTGAGCCCGAGATACATGTAGATCATGTATCCTGGTATGAGAATCATGGAGGACAGCGCCATGAGCCAGCCCACTCCCTGACCCCAGTTTGGGTACACATAGTCTCCCATTTTGAGAGGAACCATTTGTACGGCGCTGAACAAGAACACCCCCTGTGGGAGACATGAGACGCTTTATGCATCCTGACACGGCTGACTACAGGCGCCGCGGTCTCAGCCTGACATGGCCACAGGCAGGTAATATTGACTTTATTTATTGTTTCATTTTTCATGTCATGACTTTAGATGTACTGTTGTATTAGTTCAGAGTACTCACAGCGACAATGAGAGGGGTGAACACGACCCAGCACATCTTCCACCATATACACGGCTTGTAGCCAATCATCTCCTGGATGTTGTCGTAGAACTTGTTCACACCTGCGAGACAAATGAATCTATGATCAAAATATTCATATCCAATTTATTTCAATTTGCTGCCGGCCTGCCATGCATGATGATGAGGATGGCGGGGTGGAACACATGAGTGCTCATGACCTTGAGGCTGAACAGCGTTTGAAGCTGCGGAAAATATCTCTGGATAGGTGTGACGGTTTCCAACCTTCACATTCGTATTTTTAACCCCCGACTTCTCAATTATGTGATGTCTCAGCAACTTAATTTGTAAAATTGTAAAGAAAAAGGCAACTTTTCTGATGATAGGTTTTTGTTATTTCTTTATGCTAGCTTGCACGAAACATTGATGATACACACCGTAGCACCAGGATATGGAGATGCATTCAAAGAAGACCAAGAACAGCAGACACATTCCACTGGCAGAGTAGTAGTCAAACAGTTTAAACACATAGATTCCACCCTGGTCACAGAAGAAAAATGAATAAGTGTTACAAAAGATTTTATGTGCAAATGTACACTCTGGTATTATCATCAATTCAGAGAATAAATCAAAATTTAAATTGCACCTTACATACTACATAGACGCATTGAATTTACCAGTATCTTCTAATTCATTTAATTGTATTTAACTCATTTTGTTAAGCTTCTGCCATAAATAGTCAGTAGTAACATGAGAGAGCTGCCCTGCTGTACCTGTGTGATGTTTGAAAGTCCGATCACATAGGACACCAGACAGACAGCAGCGATGAAGATCTCTCGTCTACCCCTAAGAGCTCTGGGAAACTCATCCACCAGAGCGGTGATGAAGCCTTCAACAGTGCAGAACTGAAGGACAGAATCATAGAAACAGCATTAGGCATAAGTACAAATATTTGCGCTTTTTGCACCTCACTGCTTTTAAATTCTTTGAGATAAATATATATATTTTTTGTTTGTTTTTTTTAAATAGAAAGTGCATATTTATCTATTTTGCAAAATGCTTTCTTTACCGGAGAAGCTACATTTCGCTGGTGAGACCGACTGATGATGACAAATGACAAAAGAACTGCAGTGTGCACCAAACCATGGGACAAAAACACTAACGTAATCTTCTGAATGACCAAGCATCCACTTCTTGGAGGCCATTTTGGTAATAGCCCTGATATGCGAAAGCGCTGTTGCTATGACATTTCGGCTGGGGTTGTAATTTATGTCTTTTGCTTTTGAAGTGCTGGTGGTCGCAGCCGCTATATGACGGCGTATATGTTTGTCTGAACTCCGTGGCCTTATTCAAACCCAGATATCATACGCAAAATAAAGAAACACAGACAGCGAGACCCGTGGGGCATATGGAGGTGATAAAGTTGCATTAAAAATACTTGACAGCTGATGTCAAAGCCCAGCTATATCTGTCCACAAGAAGCAAATTGCATGCTTATCATGCAGAGAGCAGGGGTGAGCTGCATGATATGTACCTGCATTTAAATATTTAGGTCAGCCCATGAGCAGATCATCTCCAAGCCCCTTACCTGGCTGTCTATCCCCAGCATGAGCAGCATGGAGAAGAACAGAATGGCCCAGAGAGGAGATACAGGCAACTTGGTTACAGCCTCTGGGTAGGCCAGAAAAGCTAAGCCAGGACCTGGATGGTAAAGAGGAAAATCACATTTCATCAGGGTTATTCTCATATCAACGCGCAGATGCACGCAGAGGTGTCGAGAAAAGCATCGTCAGTGACAGCGCACCTTTCCAGAGCCATTGCAGGAGACAGAAATCTGTTGTTACCTGTAGCTGCTACGTCGGCAATGTCTTTCTTTGTCACATGTGCCATGAAGCCAACAATGGAGAAGATTACAAAGCCAGCAAACATGCTGGTACATGAGTTGATGCAACACACGATGACAGAGTCTCTGGGGAGAGAAAATATAAAATAGGTCTGTTGTCAAAGAAGAGTCTTTTTATTGTTTTGTTTTTGCTTCTGTCTTGACCATCTCTGAAAACTGTCCACATTGGAAAGATCTGAAAGAGTAGCTGTGAGAACGCATCACTGCTATTTATTCCTTTTGATAACAGAGTTATTAAAAATGCCATTTTTATTGTTTAGGACAGATGTAAACATATTTATTTAAGAACTCGTGTCAAATGATACAATCGTGTCTTCTTAGATGCGATGGAAAGGTAGACCCGACTGAAACAAGCCCACAAAATGAATGCAACTATTTTTATGTAACTGATTGTTTATGTGACCCAGAACTGTGGGGCTGCTGGAGAAAACACTCAGGCTTTGCAATAATACTTCTTTTTTTTTTTCCTCCAGCACATACACCAACAGAAAGAAACAGCCTTCTCCTTAGATTGTTATTTTTATGCCATCGTATTACATTAATAAGACATTTTAAAGGCTCTCACTGAGTGAGAATGAGATCTCAGGGCATATAACATAGTAAAATAGCAGCAATTTAATTACTGCCATCTTCAGTTATTATGATTTGCACTCGTATTTCAAATTCAGCATCTTTCTCTCTCACTGTCCCATAAATTGCATCCTGTTCATAAATCATCACCAGTCTTACCTGTAAACATTATTGTTAAAAGGGTTATAGCTGCCTAGAGCTATAAGTGACCCCAATCCCAATCCATAGGAAAAAAAGATCTGGGTAGCTGCATCCAGCCATACCTGACAAAGAAACACAAGAATGTGAGCCGTGTGAGGCCGAGTTCTGCTCACTCAGGCATGCAGTACATACGTATGAATCACATAATAATGTGTCGTTACCTCGGATTCTTTGAGCTTTTCAAAGTCAGGGGTGATATAGAACAGAATTCCCTCTTTAGCTCCAGGTAGAGTCACCCCACGGATGAAGAGAATGAACAGCATGAAGTAGGGGTACGTAGCTGAGAAGTAAACGACCTATAAAATGCACGACAGTCATCAGCAGGGAGGCATCACCGCACCTTAAAGATGTATATTGTGATGCAGGAAATGGTGAATTTGCAATATGCATTTTCATGTGGTTGATGTGAAGATTCTCTACATTTTTGTTGCAGAGAAGCAAAAATATTCAGCAAAGAAATCACTGCAGCTTCACTTGGAATCAGTTCTCTCTGTCTCTGTGCATTTATGACACTGTGCAGGATATTTGTGAGCAAAATGTGGAGATTGGGGGGGGCAGGGGGAATGGGGCATTTTGGGACCAAAACATTTTTTTTTATTTGCCATGGTCATGTGATGAGGCAGACTTTTTAAAATGTGGCACCACGAGGGAGAGAAACTGCTCCAAGTGAAGGGAGAGGACAAAACCACATTGTGGCGTATGGCTGTTTGTTGCTCCTCCTATCATGAAGCCACACTCGGTATAGACGACGTGTCAGGAGGAATGGAATTAGAGGAGCCACCATGAGGCAGAATAGGATTAGTGGACATGAGTTTTTGGTGTCTCTGTCTCTTATTTTAAAATCCATCTTGACAATGCTGGCTGCAATCTGAATGATGGATGAGGTGATATTAGACTGATTAATATTGCATAGCTGTCACACACTGGCTCCTTATTGGGAACCAGTATAGAAATAAGAGGTCTTGGGTGACCAAATTTGACAAATATCTTACCTTCCCCGTCCAGCTAACCCCTTTCCAGATACAGAAGTACACAAGGACCCAGGCAATGGCCAGCGTTATCGCCAGTGGCACTCGAAGCTGGCCTGGTTCGTCCAAGCCATCAGTCATTTCATGCACGTTGCGCCTATAAGTCAGAGCGAGCAACAATGAGACTACAACACACACACAGGGCAATAACCAAGCAGCAGAAAAGGCTGTCTTTTTATGTAGCTCAGGGATGCATGCAGGATAGTTTGACGCACTTGCTATTGTGAAAAGCAAGAGAAAGCAGTCAGTATCTTACTTCCAAAACTCCTCCACTGCACTGGTGAGATTGGTGGTGTCTGTAATGGAGTAGTTTGTATAACATTTATCTGTGTTCCATGGATTGTTACATGAGCTCCATGGAAGATCCTGCAAAACAAACAAACAAAAAAAAATTACAGTGTTTTGTTTTTTTCATTTCCCCTTTGACAGATTTGAGGATTTCTTGCATTCATCACAGGCTGCATTTCTAATGAACAACCTTGACCTTATGCTGGTGTAAACGAGTCACATGACACAAGCACACTGTAGAATACTTACAGTGGTGAAGGAGTTGTACAGGTAGTAAATGGCCCAAGAAATGATTACAATGTAGTAAATGTTAAGCCAGAAGGACAGGACAGCTGCTGCAAGGCCCACACCTATCATAGAAAAATAAATTAGGCAGTGTAGTAAAACTATCATTGGATGTGTGTGCTGTGTGGCCTCCACAAATCCTGAGGGTCACAATGAAAACATCAAACATCATAAATAATGTTTCCAGTATGGATTGTTGCAAAACATACATTATTTTAAACACAGGTTTGATTATAAATTCATCCAGAAATATTTAGTGAGTGTACCTTTAAACATAGGAGCCAGTTTCCACACACCAAGCCCTCCAATTGAGGTGTATTGACCAAGGGCGCATTCCAGTAGGAACAAGGGGACCCCAGCAAATATGAGGGTCAAAAAATAGGGAATCAAGAAGGCTCCTGGATGGACAAGAGTAGATCAAGTTATGGAAAGACAAATGATCGACCCTGGGCTAAAACTACACTGACGCATTACTTAAAACACCGCAGCACAACGTCAATTAATTAGGCTTGCAAATGTAGGTGATTATTTATTCTTTTTTTTTTCCTTTTTTTCTTTTTATGTTATCGACACGGTCAATTAGGTAAGCTCGACTATGTGCATCAGCAGAGCTGAGTGGGCCGTGCAGTTTGCGTAAAATTAGCAGTGAAAAGAATGTTTACCTCCGCCGTTTTTTCCACACAGATAGGGAAATCTCCATACGTTTCCCAGTCCAATTGCATAACCCACACACGACAGGAGGAAATCAAATTTTCCCGCCCATGTTTCTCTATCAGGCAACTCCTTTTTCTGCTTTTCGGGTTTCACGTCCAGTGACTTGGGTTTGTCATTATTAGTGGCCACCTCGTTCAGTTCTGTGACTTGTCCATCCGTTTTGGTGCCGTTCGTCGCCATGTCTCTGGATTTGGCAGAGGTCCTGGCAGTCGGACGGGAGGCTTCAGCACCAGTCCACGTAGACAGCAGCTTCGCGGTTTTTAGACCTAACCCTTGGACCAAATGTCTGGAGATGAAGCCTGTGCTCACACGGCTCGTCAGTCGCCGTTAACCTGGAATCGTGAATAGAGTAATTGATTGTGTTTTTTTTCTTTCTTTCTTTTTTTTTCACGGGGCGCAGAAAATATGGTTATTTAATGAAACAAATATGGACACATTTTTCCCCCTTTTTTTCCACCACATCCATTTACTCCCTGCCAGATGCAATACAGCATTGCAAATTAAATCCAAACATCCACTGTTTAACTTATGCAATTAAAAACGCAGACTAACGCATCATCCTGATCATTTGGCACCATGACAATTTATTTTCATTCATATCAGACTCAACAAACACCGAAAAAAACCATCGATGGCAAAGTCATGCTGACTTGCTCCCACAACTAAAAACACAGACGACAGATTGCACGTAAATTAACAGCAGTAAAAACCAGATCAGCAGACACGGTAGCAAAAACAAAGTCTGCAATTAAATATGTCACACACACACACAGAAAAGAAATGGGAATTTGACCGCACGAACAGAAACGAAAGAAATAAGAAAACTTTAAGACAGATTACAGGATCCAAAACACGCACTTGAAGCGCAAGACGCACCGTAGCAATAGCAAATAGCCTATGAGAATTAAGCACAATGAAGTCCACCAATTACCACCTACAGATTCTCCTAACAGTTCTCCACAAACAGAATTCAAAGCAGCAGGGATACAGAGAGGTTCAAACTAACTGGAACACAAAATGCATCGTGGAGACAAAGGGATGTCCAATGCGTAAAAGCTTTACGCATCAGCCTGCACAAATAGCTTCCCCATTCTATCCGATTAATTGAAAACCATGCGCGTTATTAAACGCACGGGACTCCACATTTGCAGCATCCAGTCGACTAGCAAACACTCATCAATTCTGCATTTAATTGTATACAGCATGTAGGTCCAGAGATCATCATGCAATCATTACATTGACCCCAGCAACATATTACCACAGTTAAACCACTCTCAATACAGGCGCAAAGAGAAAAACGGGAGAAAAAAAAAATGAATCATGCATTTACCAGATTCGTTTCTATGGAGGTTAAAAACACGTACAGACAAACGCAAGAATCCAGCACCCAGTTTACTCACAATGAATCTGTGATCTGTGCCGCCGAGGATACGCTGCCTGCCACAAATCTCGAAACGAGGTATCCGTAGATTCCTCCTGTGGGCGAAGTTGTAAACTCCCAATATTTCTTGAAACATAAATAGATTTTACTTCCATTAAAAGACTTAAAGGGACCATGCAGCGTTAGAGGTGTCCAAGCAGGAGCTGTCCAGCGGGGAGCAGTGCTGAAGACCAGGAGGAGGAAGAGGAGGAGGAGGAGGAGGAGGAGGAGGAGGCTGAATCAACACGGGCAGCAGCCGCTTCGCCTTGTGCGACTGTCTAACATCAACAACCAGAGACTCAACTCCCATCTACACAGCCTCAATGTCATCTCAAAGTCGCCCCCCCTCACTCCTCCTCCTCCTCATCCTCATCTATAGGCTGCACTGACATCGCACTTGCAGCGTGTTTGTTTTCTAATATTTCTAATTGTTTTCACTCTTCCCATTGTGATTAATACTCATAATAACGAGCTATTCTCTCTTTTCTTTTGTCATCATCTCGCAAAGGCAAAGACAGGGAAGTTTGGCATTCCTCACTAACTGACTGAAATCAGGACTTCCTATTCAGTTCCCATTTAAAGGTGAGAAATAATGGTCAATTTTGTGGCTTTTTACGCAAAGGAATATATACATTCCAAGCAAAATACCAAGTTTTATTTTAAATTTCACATTTTAAAATGGGATTTCAGGATTATCTGCGACCAGCAATGGAAAAAAAATGTGACCCCCTCCTCACACACACACACACACACACACACGAAAAAAAAAGAAGCCCACCCCTCCTCCAGCCCCCCCTCCCAGTAATAAAATGTATGATCGAGGTGCAAAATGGAAACATATGGGGGGGTAATGTAAGCAGCATTATCAGGTCCAAACGCGTGTATCTGGAAGGTGAGGCCAGTCAGCAGCCGTCTGCAAATCTGGCAAATTGTGATAAAGGGAGCCCGTCAATAAAGGGAGGGAACACTGTGGCTGGTTGTCTAACTCCTGCCTGTAATCGTCCAAAGCCCGACGTCTTCCACAAATGAGGGGATGATATGAGAAGAATAAACTCATGGAATATAAGCTCGCAATTTAAAAAAAAAAAAAAAAAAAAAAGAAGAAGAGGAGAACAAAAATGTTTGTGAAAAAAGATAGGACAAAACACTCCGGGATGGATGGAGGGGAGGGAAATATTAACATGTGCAGCAAATCAGCGAAGACTGGATCCAGTCTTGGATTTTTTTTATTTTTATTTAAAATTTTTTATGTGTCTAAAGAAACCATCCGCAAAGTAGAGGACAAGACCAAACATCCTCAAGAAGCTGTTGGACAGTTTTAAGGGTAAGTGTCTCACAGTATAAATAGACCCACTTGTTTGATTTTACTTGCTTGAATATTTAGTGCAAGTTTTCTCTTGAGCTCAGCTTTTTTTTTTCTTTTTTTTTCCTTGCGTGAACAGTGATGTCATGTTGGCTTCTACTTGTCTGTGCTTTTACGAACTTGAAGGCTTTGTAGTTTGCCTCCATGCTTGTAGTTTGTTGTCAAAGTCTGCACGTGTTGGCTGGTTAAAAAAAAAGAAAAAGAAAATCAGGAAATGCACTTTTTTTTTTTTTTAATTTCTAATGTGACTGGTTTGAAGTGGAGGGAGTGCATGCAGACTGTGATGTAAAAAAAAAAAAAAAACTGCTGGAAATGCTCCGACAGACAGATCAGGGAGACTTCCAGTGTGAACGTTTCCTATCACAGGCTGAGAGGGCACCAGATGGCAAACCAATGAGGGGTGAACTAACCTACTAAATGATACCACATGAAATGCAGCATTTAAAATCCCATCTGGGCTGCCTGTCCCTGCGGACATGCAGTGTGAAACATGACACATATTTATACACCTGCTGATGGAGCACACAGGCATGTCCAATAAGCTGGTGACATGCACTCCCAGCCAGCTGACCTCCTCACCCTGCAGCTTTGCTTTGATTCAGCTCACTGCCCTTTTTCACCAGCAGCCCCTCAGTCTCTTAATTTTCAGTCGGAAGCCTGTGTTTGACTCCTTGTGGTTGCTCCATTAGGCTGGAATTACTTGTCCTTTCTTGTAATGGCTTTCTGAGCATGTGACTGAGGCTGAGGCTTCGGGGTCGCACCTCTTTACGGGCCCACTGGCTGTAAAATCATTTTAATGTTGGGGAGGTATTTGCAGCAGGATGCGGCCAAGGTGCAGTTCATTTAACACTGAATATTCCCCGGTGGCTTCTTGTCATTTATATTAAAGTGTTTACGAATGTGGTTTATCTGTTAGAAATGTGCACTGTACGCAGCCTGAAATACCACACTATTACCAAAACGTGTTAAAAAGAAATGTCTTTTAAAAATAACCCGTAGTTGTAGCTGAATGTTATGATTAAAAATGAAAATAATTAAACAAAATGGCAAATAAGGATACTATATTACCTCAAATATAGCTCAAATATTTTTGATTCGGGTCTTCAAATATAACCTGAAGTCGAATTTTGACTAAACCGAGGCAATTGTTCCAAAATGTGCTGCAAAGTTTCCACACAAGTGTCTCAGACAGTTCAGTGCCTCCATTTTCTCCCTTGATATCAATACTTTGAAATGGTTGTTTTAACTGCCTGCTAATCTCAGTGTGCAATTCTCAGTTTTTCAAATGCATCTTCATGGACTCATATTTTTCAACAACCACTCTGCAATTTGAGGCCACAAAATGAACTGATTAGCATGATGATTAGTCATTAGTATGCTAATCATAAGCAATTCACATATTTTATTCATATTGTCGCAGGGCTGTTTTTCCTCCTTCTGCTGGAATTGTGTACACATCCTCTTTTTTATTTTCATTGTAAACATGAGAGTCAACCTACAGAGAGAATAAGGATTCTACAGATTGTAGTTTATTCTCGTGTGATGTTAGGTAATAAGGATGGATGAGAGACATTCAGATAAAAAAGGAAAACAACTTTTCTTTGACGTGGATTTGTCTGAAGTATCTAGAGAGCAGCACCAACGTAATAATGCTAAAGGATGTGATATAGCAGAAGAAAACGACGCTTCGAGGACAAATGTGCCTATTGTGGCGTCAAAACAAAAGCAGCACAAAAAATGCAATTCAAATATATCTATGTATACAAATCAACACAAAATATTTGCACAACCTTTTGTTTTGACAGCGAGTCTGCAGGGTATTTAATATATAAACATGTCTTATTAGGTAATCCCACAAAGAGTCATACTGTCAGCAGCCTGGATGTGCAGCCTCTTTTCTGTTGCTGTCTGCTCTGTATTTTCATCAGCCTGTTACCCTGATTGCTGCTGTGCTTCTTTTTTTTTTTTTTTTGAGCTCTGACAGAGTGCATAAGTACAATGCAGCTGCAGCACTACTTGTGTCTTGATGACAGAGGGATTGGCACACATGTATTTCACTGGTGAGGAGGGAAGGAGGAGGGGGGTACTCTGTATTTCTGTGTAGAGCATAAATATAATTTGGTGTTCCCTCCCAGGGATGATTGATGAAATTTACCTCACACCTGCACACATGCTGCGCAGGGACACTTGCATATGTGCAGCTTCTACATGTTGCGAGCCGCTGCATTGTGATGTTCGCGGCGTGCAGCCTCTGAAGACGCTGAAATCACTTCAAGGCTAGATGCTCTTATTTGTATATGCTTCTTTAGTGTAGCATTTGTTTAGCATGACCTAAATTGCTGTGAAGTGAGTGCCTCAGCAGCTCTGTCTCGCCTCTTTCTTTTTCCTT